AGTACACAAGCCTGCTAGAGCAAATCCCACTCAGTGGGGTCAGCCCTCGCAGCAACACTTATCCTGCCTACAGCATTATCTCTACCACTTACCTATAGATCCAGCATAGGCAACAACCATCTACTGATCGCTTCATAGTTTTCACCGTGTAGCCCTGAGCAATTAAAAGCAATGGCTGACCTTGACCTATGGGGAATCCCCTCCCAAGGGGTCACAAAACCAACACATCTGGAGGCTGGCACCAGACCAAAACGAAGCAACTCCTGACTAGTCCCATTAGTGACCCACGTAAAGATTAGTTGCAACAAGTACACAAGCCTGCTAGGGCAAATTAGACTGACTGAGGTGAGCCCCCACAGCAACTCTTACTCTGTGGGTGCAGCAGTTCCCACAATTAATCAGCCTGAGCATTAATTCTGTCCACTCATATACTAACAACAAAAGGCTTGGTGACAACATAAGATCACACACAACCCACATTAAGATCACGTCCAGAGCTCCTGGCAGAGCAAATCAGAGATAGTGCACCACTGGGCCACACAGGACACCTTCCAAATTAGGCCATCTGGACAAGGCTGAGAGACGAAACAAATATTCCCGACACAAACAAATGTACACAGAGAGGCTAATAAAATGAGAAAACAAAGAAATATGCCACAGATGAAACAAAAGGAGAAAACTCTAGAAAATAAACTAAGTATACATTCTCCTCAAGTGCACATGGAACATTTTTCAGGATAGACCACACGATAGGACACAAATCAAGTCTCAATAAATTTAAGAAGATTGAAATCATATCAACTGTCTTCTCTGATCACAATGGTATGAAAATAGCAATCAACAACAATAAAAGCTTGGCGACAACAGAAAATCACTGGAAAATACACAAGCACATGGAGGCTAAATAACATGCTACTAAACAATGAATGGGTTATGAATGAGATCGAGGAAGAAATCAAAAGATACCTAGAGACAAATGAAAATGAAAACACGACTCAAAATTTATGGGACATGGCGAAAGCAGTCCTAAGAGGGAAATTCATAGCAATACAGGCCTACCTCAAGAAACAAGAAAAAGCTCAAATAAAAATCTAACCTTACAATTAAAAGAACTAGGAAAAGAACAGCAAACAAAGCCCAAAGTGAACAGAAGGAAGGAAATAATAAAGATCAGAGAGGAAATAAATGAAATAGAGTCTGGAAAAACAATACAAAAGATTAATGAAACCAAGAGCTAGTTCTTTGCAATAATAAAGAAAACTGATGGACCCTTAGCCAGACTCATCAAAAACAGAAAGAGAGAGAGGACTCAAATAAATAAAATCAGAAATGAAAGAGGAGAAATAACTACGGACTCCACAGAAATACATTGGATCATAAGGAAATACTACAAGCAATTATATGCCAACAAATTGGACAATCTGGAAGAAATGGACGCATTCCTAGAAACATACAATCTCCCAAGACTAAGTCAAAAAGAAACAGAAAATCTGAATTAATTGATTACCACCAATGAAATAGAATCAGCGATCAAAAACCTCCCAATAAACAAAAGTCCTGGACCAGATGACTTCATAGGTGAATTTTACCAAACATTCGAAGAAGAATTATCACCTATTCTTCTCAAACTATTCCAAAAAATTAAGAGAGGGAAGGCTCTCTAACTCCTTTTATGAGGCCACCATTACCTTGATTCCAGAACCAGACAAAGACATTACATAAAAAGAA